CTATCCTTTGCCAGCAATTGGTTCCTATCCTTTGCCAGCAATTGGTTCCTGGCATACCAATATAAGCTATATGAATATTAATGATTTATAAACTAACATTACCTATTAAATTATCCTTCGAGATATTCTTTGCTAAACAGCATCTTGATTTTATGTTTCTTTTTCTGAATAAATGAATGTTTTGATCCTTTTATAAATGACAAGCCAAAAGAAAATGCTAAAGTCGCGGCTTCTATGTCCTAATGTTAAATTAAATGATAAAAACGTTGATGACTTAGTAACAATACTTAGCTTTACAGTGTACTTTGTTTCTACTAGTGCTCTAAAAAGCGTAAAACATTGTTAGGCATAGATGCCAAGTTTCAAGCTTTACGAGTCGAGGTTTAGGTGTAAATAAGCTTTACTTATTTTTATTATTATTTTAAATATTTAATCATTCTAGAAATTGTTTAATAATTAAAATATTACATACCAAATATGTAAAATTATAATATACTATATTTGCTTAATAGTTCCTACAATTAATTAATTATATAATTTTCAAGTTTTCGAAATGAAAAAGCTAGAACTTTATTTTTAAAAATTTTTAACTTTTAACTAGACAAGCTCCACTTAATAGATTTATAGGAATTTCATACATACTTTCGAACAAAACGATAAGCTTCAAAATCATAATTACTTAATATAAATAGCACCTTAATTTCAATCTTATCTAAATAGTTATCGGATAAAGTCATTTTTGACTTTTGTACAGATAAAGTCATTTAAAAATTTGAAATTAAAGTCAAATAATTAATTATTATTTTTTAAATAAAAGTCAATAAACTAAAGTCAAATAAAATATTTTTAAAAAAAGGAAAAAAAAAATAATGAAGCGTGCATTAAGCGGTCAACTTCGCATTTGACTACTTTATTCGTTCTCATTTGGTTGGTTTGTTTATTGGCTTTCTTTGTAATTGATTCAACTGGCTTGATAGATTATGATTACACTCGTCTGTCTAGTTTGAACTAACTATGGTGATTTTCTTTGTTTATTTATTATCATTGCTTAGGCCATAATAAAGAAGGACATATATGGATCCATAATAAAGAAGGACATATATGGATCCATAATAAAGAAGGACATATATGGATCCATAATAAAGAAGGACATATATGGATCCATAATAAAGAAGGACATATATGGATCCATAATAAAGAAGGACATATATGGATCCATAATAAAGAAGGACATATATGGATCCATAATAAAGAAGGACATATATGGATCCATAATAAAGAAGGACATATATGGATCCATAATAAAGAAGGACATATATGGATCATTCCGTTTGCGGAACATAGGAAATCCCCAGTCAGCATCAATGGCAATGAAGTTGCATCTACGATGAGTGTAACCCTTACTCCAGGTTGTCTAATTGAGGTATGATTTTACGTTTTATAGGTCTATTTGGAATCTCTCTTTTATGCTTTGGTTAATCTCCATGTGGCAAGAAATTGAAATTGATTAGAGACGCTCTACGGAATTGTTCTTTTGAGCCTGCCTTCATTCTTTGTGATGGTGAATGATACTTGTTTAAGATTGATATAAATGGCAGTATTAGGAATTTTTCGCCTTTTAGTTGCACCCTAGATTGAGAAGTTGAATGGTCTACCATATTTTTGAGTTTATGTACATCCAATGCAACATAAAAATCTCAGGTAAGGGGATTGCCATTTATATTCAAGACAAACGATATGCAAATAAAGAAGCAGGAGAACGAGTTGTTCACGGGACCCTAAACCTTTCGTTAGACGATGAACGGAGGCTGGAAGATTTTCAGGGTCTATTTTGTACACAACTTCCTGTGATGTATTAGGTGTGTATTTGTAGACAAACTGGTTTGAATAATTTTAAAAATTGAAGGAAAGAAATCCTGTTGCTAATTTCCCATCCATTTCTAGATGGCTAATCTTGTAAATCGCAGTGAGCTGAGATGGTTGCATAGAGGCAGCTCTGAGCAGCCGGTAATGGGCTGAGATGGTTGAAATGCTGTTGCCAACATCTCTCTCTCTCTCTCTCTCTCTCTCTCTGTGCACGCTCGCGCAGAGCTTTTTGGCAGTAACAATGGAAGACTTGGGATGGTCGAGTTATGGTGGCGGTGGTGACTGGAGGCTACAGACGGTTTAGTGGCAAGGGGTTCGTACTTTGTTGCTCGATGAACCTCATTCACCTGATTTGCCACTGGTTCCGGCGTAATATGTGATGTTATAAGTGGTGGCAACGGTAGCGTCGGTCTAAGATGGTGTATCATAAGCGTGCAAAATTTGTTATAGAATTGGGATCACTAGCACGGATGAATTGAACTAAACTTTGTATTTTCTCTCTCTTTTAATCCTATCTAACGTCTTTTTTAATTATAAAATTAGGACTGTAAAAAAATGTTAACCGCAAAATGAAATCAAATATTATTTATATAAATTATGAAGTCGAGTGGAGATTATGTTCCCCATCTCTGAACCATGGCAAAAATCACCGCACTCCCCAAAAATCTGACACGGTCTAGTGGGTTTATATAAATTATAAGCTTTAGACAACAGCCATATTCATTTGCAAACCTTCGACAATTGAATGTATAAATGCAAAGGACATGAGTGAGGTACTCTCAACCCTGCTAGTGAGGGTTCGATTCTTAAAACATGGAATTTGACTTTTTGTGGATACCAGTATGCGGACAAGCTATTGTTTCCTGATTTGTTGGGGTATATCATGTGATTTACCTCCCTCGCGATACTTCAGGGGTGGGGCAGTGGGGGTCCTCAAGGTTGGAGTTCAACTTCTTTTTTGTTTTTTTCTTTCTTTCTTTTTTTTTTTTTTGTTTAAATATCGTACTAGATTTGATTAAAGATAGATATGATCAAATCTTTTTGTGGGTGCAATTTTAAAGTTCCCGCTTTTGGTAACTGGGTTCCGTTAGGGGTTTCGGAATATCTTCTTGTATCAATTTATTGTCTCACGGTGTATTGTTAAATTAGGTTTTACCATGAACATTAGACTAGACCCAGCTGTTGTCTCTAACCTTTGTATCTTTGCTCTTCTATTCTTAATATATTTTTCTTGATACGTGTGTCCTCAACTTTTCATTTATTGTGCAAACGTCTTAAGAGGGTGGAGAGCAACCATCTTCGATGGCCGTTAAATTTGCATAAAAGACATTTAGCGAATTCGAAGTTGCATTTTCCTTGGCCGCATGGAGCTACACCCCGTATCCCATTGCAGCCGCATCTCTTGTACTCAAGCCCCATTTACTTCCCCGACCTCTCATGTCCGTGCCCACACAAAATTCCTATTGTACCACAACCACCACCACCACCATCACCACCACCACCACCACCACCACCACCGCAAACCCCTATTGTTAAAAAAATATTAGCGTCAGATGTGAACCAAACTGCATTTCTCACATTCAAGTAAATCCTCTTTAATCAAGATTCAAATACATCATTCCTCATATTTCAATATTTTGTAATAACTAATGATGAAGATGAATTTAAGATATAATAATTTTCCCCTTTTTTATTCCTTGTATTTTATTATTTGCATATGTGGTTGAAAGGTAAAAAAATGTGCCCCCCCCCCCCCCCCCCACCAAACA